ATTTTGTATCGAGATATATCAGATATTATCGCCTCACTAACAAAACCACAGACACAACAAAAAGTGAAAAAATAAAGACAAAGAAAAAGGAAGAGAGTGAATCTAAAGATCCGAACAATTCTGGTCTAATATCTAAGGAGAGAAAATAATTATGACGAAGATAAGATATTATTTTTCAACGTTGATTCACACTGTACATTATAATGTGCTTCTATTAAAAATGTTATGTATTTCATCAGAATTAGTGTGTTTGTCAAAAAGTTCCCCTTCAGTCCTTGGAGTGGCATTTTGACCAAATTTAGTCAAAAAATGGAAATATGGCAATAATAATAGTAGTAGAGGAACACTATCTAGTTATTTTACATGGAAATGATAACAGTTCATGAATATGATTCAATTACAGTTCAATCACACATAGTACAACTTTATTAAATTAGAATTATTACCATTAGACTGACTGGATAAGGGAACTACTAGCCTCACTGCCCAAACCATTTTCCAGCCTAAATGACTGTACGGGAGGGTCTGGGGAATGAGACTAGGGAATTATTGAATGTTATTGTGATATCAAAAAATCAATGATATTTCGTGTTATTGGCATGTTCCAGTAACTATTTTTATGAGGTGCTATATACCACACACATACACTGATATTATCCCCCATTACTGGAAAGCTATGGCCATTATCAAATAAATGCTGTAAAAACTGTAAGTAGTGTATGTCAAGCATTTTGACCAAATTTAGTCATGCACAACAAAAACAACTGTTGTAGAGTAGTGCAAACAATTACTCTCATGAGAAAACAGAAAATGACCCATGAATATAATTCAATGATGTAGTTCGGTACATATCCACCCACTTCTATTGTGCTCTTTACCGTTAGTGACTGGGTAAAGGAACTCTTAGCTGTGTTTGCCAGTCTGTTTCTTTGGTGCAACATATTCATCATAATTCACACAATGATTGATGTCTCTCAATGGAGAGCAAGTATTGGACTGTGGAACTACTGTCAAGCTGCCTCCAGTAGACCAGCTAATGGCCGTCACTCTCACTCATTCAAAGTAGACAGCAAGTCAGGCTGTACTACATCAGGAGAGAAGACATCTAAACTGCCAGCAGCTCTGTCTCTTATTGTTTCTTTTCTTTTATCTTTACTAAGGTGTATGAAGCTCAATTTTATTCCTCCAACTGGTAAACAAACTAACAGTAAATAATATTACCATACAGTGTATTTACAATAGGTATAATTACTGTTACTGTTATGATCCACTTCCTCCAGTCATTAGTCTTGTTTATAGCTACTATTGACAGTAGTTCTGACCTGATGATCTACTATTTGGCTTTACTTCTCCTCTTATCAGGAGATGTTGAACTCAATCCTGGTCCTATGATTGATGATCAACCTAATATTTCCCTATTGCTTCAATGGCTTGAACCACTTGTTGACTGGAAACCATTTGGTATTCTTTTACCTGGAATAACACAACAAGATATTACAACAATTGAAGACTTTGCAATTGATACTAAACAAAGTAAAGGAGCCCTCTTTTCTAAATGGCTTAAAAAGAATGCTACAGCAACATGGAGAGATGTACTCAAAGCATTGACTAAAAGAGAAGAGATCAATTTATTACAAACTATTAATGATCAGTTGCAAGAACATCAATGTACAGGAGGTATGATCATGTACAGGTACCTACCAGTATTAAAATATTGTTTGTATTATAGGTGCTAATGATACTTCTACTACTAGTACTGTACCAGTAGTATCTACTGTATCATCATCAGTTTCTGTAATTGATAAACCTGTTACTAGTACTACATCAGGTAAAAACTTAATATAATACTCATTAACTGATACACTACTGCAGGTAATCCAAAAGATATATTACAGAGTCATTCCGATAAATTAGTTCATGCTATTAGTGTGAATCTATACAATGTAACTGATGCACTGTATGCTAAAGACCTGATACCACAACAAACTAAGGAGGACGTGCATGTATTAGGAGTAACTAATAATGAAAAATCTAGTAAACTTGTGAATGTCATTGAGAAACAGTTGGAACCCTCTCTTAATCCAGAGCAGTATCTTATTAATCTATGTCATGTATTAATAAACCAACAACATCTTACACTAACAGATATTGCTACCTCTATATTACACCAGTTAGGTGAGTGTGTGTGTGTACATTATCAGTGATCAATATAGTCATTATCTTAATACATTACGTTGGTCTATACCTGATAATGTCAGTTCACATACTGTACTACCATCACCAGTTGATGATAATGTACCAGTTACTGATATAAGAGATACATTTATGGTTAATTTAATGTGTAAATACATTACTGATCTCTCTATATAGGTCAGTCTGATGTAGCTAAACCCTTTAGTTCAATACCTGATGATGTTCAAGGATATGCTGACAATATGAGACAACACTACAGAGACCAACCTATTGTTGCTACAGACTGGCCACCGAAAATAGGAAAAGATTACTTTGGAAGATTAGCATTAGTAGAAAAGAAAGAATCCTACAGTACACAAGCAAAATCAGATTGGTATCGCATTAGAGGACAAGTTGATAAAATGCTGGAGCTACCTGAAAACAAAGAGATAAGTGTTGAAGATGTCCTCCAACCCACAGACAGTTCTGTGTCTCTCAGAGTAGTAATAGACGGTCCTCCTGGTATTGGCAAAACAACACTCTGTCGTAAACTGTTAAATATGTGGTCTAATGGACCACTTGTATACCAACAGTATGACTTGGTACTTTACTGTCCTTTAAGAGATAGCAAGATAGCTGAAGCTACTACACTAGCTGACCTCTTTGTGCGGCAACGTTATGAAGTTCCCATGGTCACTGAATGGTTTGAGAAGAGGAATGGAGAAGGGTTACTGATAATATTTGATGGCTGGGATGAACTAAGTGAGCAACTCAGACAGTCTTCATTAGCTGCTAGTATCATTCATAGAAAGCAGTTAGACCAATGTTCAGCAATCGTCACTTCTCGTAGCTATGCCTCCTCTTCACTTTTAAAAATGGATACTCTCAGTAAACATGTTCAGGTCATTGGGTTTTCTGAAAAAGTAATATCAACAGTAATTATACAAACACTTCAAATTGATATAAAACTAGCACAAGAACTAATTGATGCCGAAAAAAAAGGTGAGAACAATAAAGATTTTTTATCAGCAGTGAAACTCATTAATGATCTCAAAGTACGTGGTGATATCCGATCATTGTGTTATATACCACTAGTCTGTTCTATGGTCATCTTAGTTTATTGTAAGGAAGGAGGAAACTTACCAACAACATTAACTGAACTGTATGAGAACTTTATCCTGCAAACTATCAGAAGACATGTGAATAAACATGACATTAACCCATGTACTTTAGGTAGTCTTTCTTCATTACCATCACAATTAGCTAAACCTTTACAAGAGATGTGTCAATTAGCTTATACTAACCTGGCTAATACAACAATGACATTCCATTCACATCAACTACAGTTACTGAGTGAGGCAGTCAAGGAAGACTATCTTGGATTGATGACAACATTCAGAGAATTTGATGAGGAAAAGTATCAGTTCCTTCACTTGACTATACAGGAATTTCTAGCTGCATGGTGGATAGCTAAGCATAAGGAGAAGACAGAGGAAGTGTTTAAGCATCACTTTGATAATGATCACTTTCGAATGTGTCTGAGGTTTGTGGCAGGTCTAACTCACCTTGAACATGAGAGCTATCAACAGTATTTTAATAAACAACAACTTGACTTACAGTGTAAGAGGAAACCATTGTTGAATACTTATCTCTCCTGCTTTTACCAGAATCCTAAAATTAGACAAACGGCAAAAGTAATGGAGACATTTCACATATATGCTGATTTTGACAATGTTCCCATTTCTCTTTTTCATCTCCTTTATGAATCACGAAATGAAAAATTGTGTCGCACATTAGCAAATTCCATCAACAAGAACTCACTCTGTCTGCATCGACATAGAGTTACTCAACTGTCATTGTTTGACTGGTTGTGTCTTGGCTATTTTATAAACAATTCCAAAACAGAATGGAATCATTTGCACCTAGGAATTATAGATTTTCATGACCGGGAATTGTCAGTCTTCACTGATGAACTTGTAGCTAGAAACTCACTACAGACCCAGTGCAAAAGACTGGAGATATGGTTGCACAAACCCACTGCTGAATCAATGCGCAAAATATTAGAACCATCAATTTTCTGCAATATTCAAGAGTGCTACTTTGAATTATATAGAGGTGAGTATGTTCCCTGTCATGTACTGTTGCAGCTCCTCAATCTTCCTAAACTGATGATACTGCACTTAATAATGGAATATCCTACTATACCAACAGTTGATGATGACACATATTACACAGACATGTACACTGAACTCGAGAAATGTATAGCAGAAAAAGTAAAGCTACTGGTAGAAATGAATATTAATTACAGTGGTACGGAGGAAATAACAGGGACACTTGTCAGTGTCATCAGAGGAGCAAAGAGAAATAAAACAATTACTTCCTTGTCACTGTCAGTATCTGTTCGTCAAAAAGATCCTCCTCCTCTACCTGATGGAGAAATAGAGCAGTTACTGAAGGACAATAGCACATTAAAAACTCTTTTGATGAACATTTCTGATGAACTCCTACCATCATCACTGAATATAGTAGAGGTGAACACACCACTGACTACTTTGGAAATAGAAGAGAAGAGTAGTAAACTGATGGTACCACTCCTTCACCGTATCAAAGGATTAGAATGTCTGATACTACATGAACCATACCCATGGCCACATCTTCTATTTCTCTCTCATTCCAGTCTAAATACGCTTAATTTACCACTAGACACAGCTGAAAGTGCTAATAAACTATTTGCTATTCTGCAAACCAACACTACACTTGAAACTCTAAATGTGGAGATGCAGAAAGAGAGAATATATACTAGCAGTGTGGGCACTAGTCTACAAGACATGCTAACACAAAACCAAACACTCAAATACTTCGAAATTAATAATGGCATTCCCAGTTCATTCTTGTCCTTTATAACAACTGGTCTCACACGAAACACCAGTATAAAGCACTTGAATGTATACATTCCAATTCCATCAACTCATGAACACGTAACTAATCATTTTATTGAAGCAGTATCAAAAAAGGTTAATCTCACAGAACTTAATGTGAACTTCACACTAGAGCTAGATCAGTCATACATTAGCTATAGTGAGGAAGATAAGCAACAAAAAATGACACGATTGTTTTATGAACAGGGACTACCTGCTATTACCAGCATGTTACAGTCACATTCAACCATCATAAAACTGAGGATAGGATGTACACACATCAATGGAGAGTTGACCAAACCTCACTGGATAGAACTAGTAAAAAAATTATACGACACTATCTTCAAACATCCTTCCCTTAAATATATCGAATTTAATAACAATTTAGCAGCTTTTACTCATCGTCCACTGGAGGATACTCTTAAAGATCAAAAGAAGACATTGATTGAGAGATGCAAAAAAGAACAACCAGGCAAACCACTACCAATAGTGGACCTTAATTTAATAAAATAAAGTTAAAATTTAAAATACAACAATTAAACGCTGCTATTAGTAACTAGCGTGTGAGAGAGTTAACAAAGAATTAGAAACTTTTCATTTTAGTATTATTTAGTTTAAAAGAATTATCTTACAATTATTTTGTGTACGTTCCTTAATTAGGACATTTTTACTAGTCAAATAATTATAATTCTGAGTCTATTTGTTGAGGAAGAAAGTGATCCAGCACTTCTTTGTCCAACTCTTCCTTCTTCATACCAACTCTCAACTGCAAATTCTTTGAAACTGAATGCATAAAAGTGTCTTACATGTGTATGGTTAAAACGGGGCAGTTTTTGAATGGCACTTATCTTTTATATCCTGTATTAGAGATTGACCTAGAAATAAGCATGAAAAAAAATTAGGTAACATACATACAGTATACATGCCAGTATAATTAAACATCTATCACTGAAACATGAGTCATGAACTCACTTGTAATGACTACCGGAAAGCAAGTAAAAATGACACGTGTCTGTCAAACACTGTATGGTTTTCATTTCCCATCAAAATAAGTCAGATTAATTTCTTTGTCATAAAATGATGCCTTAAAAAAGAACAATTTATAAAAATTGACATTAAGCACTTTAATTTAATTCATTCTTTCAATGAGTGAACTGGGTACACAATAGGACATAGGTCCTTTTGCTTTGTTTATGACTAATTATCAAAACATTTATCCTCATGAGCAGTACATGAGTGTAAGTATAAATGCTAAATTCATGATGGACTTTGACCCAATTTTTGTGCAGCTTTAAAAATTAATCAAAAAAATCCAAAGTGATCAAAATCAGTTCAAACTTAATACATAGCATAAGAACATTTGTAGTATGGTGCGTGGGTGGATCAAAGGCGCCGCCTGTGCTACAACTTCCAATAACCGCACGGTAGGAAAATGTAGCACTGTGTGGAATATATAGTACTGCACAGTATAATATGTATGGGCTTTCCTGTTAGCCACAAGCTTTGATAGAGGCAAATCACAGCCACAGCTACATACACTAGATATGTAACAATAATAATAGTGATAAATGAGATCTGAGATGAGTGAGATGAGATGATAATGTGAGATGATAATGTGAGATGATAAATGAGATGAGATAAATGAGATGAGAGTGATAAATGAGATCACCTGCGCGACTTTTGAAATTTCATTTGATCCGCCCATGCACCACTACAAACCAATCAAAGCACTGTTGATTCGTAGATTACGGAAATTATTGCACTCGGGACGGTCTCGAGGAAAATGTAGCACTCGGCTTCGCCTCGTGCTACATTTTCCTCTCGACCGCCCCTCGTGCAATAATTTCCGTAACCAGGGATATAATAGACTAACGTAACCGGGATTGGCAACGGGATCACGTGAGCGCATCATTTGTGTATAAAAACTTTTTGCAGTCTCTGTTATGATTTTCAAGATGGCGGATGTCAATGTCTGGAGTATTAAGTTGCTCTTTTCTCTTTTAAAAATGTATTTAGCTTTATGAAAAATCTACTGCAAAGTTATAATGGTGGCTTCAAGGTTCTGATAGGTTATTGTAAGTTAACATTTGTTTTAAATTGTTTAAATCTTTAATTTGCGGCTAAAATTCCATTTGCGTACCTCTGTAGCCCAAATATTTGTTTCTGTGAGTGTATTTTTGTCATGAAATATTGTTACTTAGTTTATTACATTGTTTAGGCAACTTCTCTTGTTTCTCCAGAGTGTTCTTTATGAAATATTCAAGAAAAACCAGTTTGCCATGGTATGACCTTTGCGTACCTCTCAGGAGAATAGACTACATTCTATTGCTATGAAACTACAATAAAGAGAGTCTTTACATGTTTTTACATTGTTTAAAGTTGTTTTTAAATTTTCCTTGTTGCTGGTTTTTTAGTTATAACAATTTACATTCAGCCATTTTGCTAAGATGCCATTGATTGCTCCATTAATTTTAATGAATAATAACAGAGTCTGATAATTATCTTCCGGTCCGTAACCAATCCCGGTTACGTTAGTCTATTATATCCCTGCCGTAACCTACTCTCAACAGTGCTTTAACTAATACGTATATATTTCACAAAAAAATAAAAGCAAAATTTTCTCCTAGTCATTTTTGCCAAAATTTAAGCCTTTAGCGACTTTAAAAATTCGTAAATGCCGTGAAATTGATTGGAATCAGCTAAAATTTTACTCCACTCAGTTCAAAATTTACCAAATTTAACTTAGACTTTAGTAATAAATTGACGATTGATGATAGCATGCTGTAACAAGCATGCAATTCTAATTCCTCATTCTTAAGTTAACCCCCACATAAAAATCACTAATTATTAATGTTTACCAGTCATTGTTCCAATTGTACAGTTGATCAATGACAAACAAGGTAACAAGTAATTAGCTATTATATACCTATAATAAAAAAATCCTTAAAATACAATACATAATATTTGAAATTTACCTCTAAATGTTTTGAGCCGCCATATTGAGGTTAAAAACGAAAAAGGTGTGGTTTACCTACTTTCAGTAGTTTGTGGGTGGAGTTTCTTAAAAGTGAGCTCACTGAGCTGAGAATGGAACTGAGAAGTAACAAGAACTCCTAAAGTCAAGAAAGAGGAGAATATGTAGATGAACAGAGAGAAGATGAACAAAAATAGTAATTATTGATTAATAATTTATGTGCATTAGTGTCCTATATCTATTAATTGTGTGTACATTTTGGTTCTGAGTGCATAAGATTTGTTTTATTTTGTATTATTAATATATAATATTTATAGATTTATCGAGGTAGATGCTAAGCTCTTTTGTATCATGAGGGATTGAACAAGCTAAGCTGTTTCTGCTTCAGTGAATTACTTATTGTTTGATGTAGCAGAGCAAGTCACTTGATCTAATTAAATTAAAATGGTGAGTCACCTAATATTAGTAGTATTATAATCATAGTATATGGTATATAAGATATACTATCATCATAAATATGCATTTGAATTCTTTCATTATGCTGTAGTTCTTGCACTTGTATGGTCTAATGTGCATTGACAAGAATATAATTTTATACTGGGTCATACTTACAATGTACTAGATCTATGTGTGTATTTTCTTTGTTTTTTGACATTGGGAGAGTATACTGCTGTATACTGAGCAGCATATCCTTAGTATACTAATGCCCATTTACAATTCAATATTAAATCATTTTTATGATCAACAGCTGTTGTACATACGACTGCCGTTCTCCTGTTTCATGTAGATGTATATCTATATGTACGTACATGTGATTATGTCAAAGATACTTTAGAGTACTTGATGGCTGTTTTATCCACAGATACATGTATGTAACTGTATTTGATTCTGTATTATTATGAGTTATTGATAGTTTATAGAGACATTGTCAGAATGGGTATACATTATATTGTAATGTAGAGACCAAGTTTATAAGTGAATGAAATTTATTGTTATTTTTTCTGTATTGTTTATATACTAATAATTGGCTGTGGGTGAATCAGGGTAATAAGAATGTTAGGTGGTAGTTTTTTTCAGTCACCAGATGTTAATCTTTCCTAGAAATCAATACATGATAGCTTCTAAACCAACAACCACCTTCTGTTGATAATTAGAATCTAAATTATGTGGTCATTCATTCATGTGTACTGTGTATTGCATGTATATACATTGTATGTGTACATGTGTGTCTATACTGTATAGTACAATGGTATAACTGTGGCTTTCCTTTACATGTACATGTACCTGATTTGTGCTAATATTTTATTGTGTTCTGAGTCTGACAGTGTGCAGTGTGTAATAGTGAATGTACATTGTAAGTACTAGAAATCACAAATACCTGGCCACATATGATTGCTTCAAACTTTATTGCCAGTCACCTATCCAAATGATATATACAACACAACATTACAAGTGGCCTTTTTCCCTCGGATGCCTCCCATATTGTTGATAGAGGCTAATGGGAATAGATACTTATAAGAACAACTGACTAGTGAGAGTGACTAGCATTAAAACCTGTGGACGAGGATGTGATCTCTTACTTGGAGGAATTCTGAGAGGCATAATAACACATAGCAAGGACTGTATTCTGGGTCTAGGGGCACCTTTAATGTACAGTAGTTATGCATAAAGGCCAAGAGTGTTAATTATGAATGCACCTATACATAGCTGTTGGTGAGGTTAATGTGCCTTGGTAACGTACGAATATGTACATATAAATCACATTTACTACTCAAAGAAATTGCCACAATTTTTTTAAAAAGTATATGGAGATTATACCTAAAACATGTAACATGAGTTTACCCTTGATAACACACTGAAATGACCCTCCACCAGATAAGACCAATACTGTTCACTTAGTGATTTAAATCATTAATTTTTCTTATTGTTCAACACACACATACTGTGACATTACATGTACATGTACACACAGCAGCAGTTCATCAATAAGATAGTTTTTAAGTCCTCAATGGCAGTTTTACTGCTAGGTATAGGTAGCGAGTGCCCAAATCGCCGCAGCAAGACCTCCTAATCCAACACCAACTAGAATAACCGTTATTATCCAGCAGGCAACACATTCACAAGTAGGAGGATCAGCACAATAGCACTCTTTACATCCCATAGTGATACAGGTTAATAGGAATAGACACTTGAAGCTTGACAGAGAAGAACGACTAGTTGTTTAGGCGCTGGTCACTGACTCACTGCTGAGCTAGCTGTTTTTGAATGCTGCGTCAGTTATGGAAACCTGTAAACACCGGGACTGCCTCTCAATCGGAGGAATCCGGAGAAGTATAATAACATATGACGTACACCAATACATAATGTTAGTTTGGTCAGTATTATCTTGATAGCAGTACTAGTGGTGGTGGTGGGGCCAGTATCTTGGAGACACCTTAAACTTATAGCTATACATAAACACTGAAATTATAAATGTACATGTACTATTATTATGAATGGCGTTCAGCTGTCAGTGAGATCTTGGTAGTGCATGTAGACTTGTACAATTGCATTTTCTACTCAACAAGATTATGCCCATGAATTTACTATAAAGTATACCTTAATTACCTACATGTAATGCACATAACCAGTCACTTTTAAGTTGGTCATTTAAAGTCAACACTCTTTGTTACAATTCACATACACATAACATTACATGTACATACATTGTATAGCAGATGATCATTAATAGGATTGTTTTATTGATGTTCTCAATGGTGATTTCAATGCTAGGCATAGGTAGCGAGTGCCCAAATTGCTGCAGCAAGACCTCCTAATCCAACACAGACTAGAACAACTGTTATGAACCAGCAGCAAACACATCCAATGTCAGGAGGATCAGCACAATAGCACTCTTCACATCCCATAGTGATACAGATGAATAGGAAATGGGAATAGGTACTTGGAGTTTGATAGAGAAGAACGACTAGTTGTTTATGGCGCTGGTCACTGCTGAGTTGGCTATTTAAGTGCTGCGTCAGGTATGGAAACCTGTAAACATCCGGACCACCTCTCAATCGGAGGAATCCGGAAAAGTATAATAACATATGACGTACCATAATACATAACAAGGATTGCACTCTGTGATTAGGGACATCTTAAACTTAAAGCTATACGTGTATGCATACATGTAATAATTACTGTCCATTTAGTTTTTCTCTAATGTCAATAGGTACGTGTATTTATTGTAAGGAAAACTGGAGATATACACATGTATTTGAATAGCTATACATTTATTCCTTTAATTTTGAATGCAGCCATTTCAGTGGCGTGTACATATTCAATCTACATGTACATGTACTTTTTGTGATTTATATGTATATATGTACATGTACATGTACATGTATGTACATGTTAATAATGTATTGCTAATGGGAGTTTATGTATGAGTTTATACTTGTGTATATGGTACATGTAAGTATGGTATATGTACATGTACATATGTACATTCCTTTTTAATGGATTGTGGTGTCATTGAGATAGTGTCCTGCTAATGGCCAGGGAGTGTGAGGGTGTTCCACTGGGATTGTTTGTAATTTTAGACTTTTTGGGGGAGTTTCAGTTTATACAGCCTGTGGTTGACCTCTCTCTATTGTGTGTTCAAGTCTTCCTGGATACTAATGGAGTGGCTTATGAATAATTGCTAGTGGTATTTACTGCTAATGCTCTCTCTTTGTAGTGATTCTATCTACAATATCATTAATAATAAAGTGCAAAAAATGATTATAATTCTGGTAATAGCAATCTATATTGTATATAAATGTATGACAATATGTTGTAAAGCTAGTTAGATGTGAGTTTTACGTTATAGTAAAAATTAAATCTGTTTCAGCATTAATAAAAGTTAGACTCTTGATTCAGATGTAGTGGATGTGTGAGTAGTATTACATGTAGTATTGATGGTTCCTGGCTGTGTAGTTTCAGTGGGTGTGTATATAATGATATTATCAGATTGATCAGTGTTGATTGTAGAGTGTGTGCTTGTATTATCAGTTATTGGGTGAAGAGGCTCAGTGAGTGTGGTTACATTAGTAGGAGTGTTGCTGTTATTGGTTGTAGCATTATTTATTGAAGATTCAGTGTCAATAGATATACCAGCATTAGGCTGAGATGCATTGTTGCTAACTATACAGGTAGTGTGTGTTATTGGAGTCTGGGCTATTGAAACTTGAGGGTCAGTTATTGGATGTGTATCTAGAATGGCACCAGGTTGAGCTGCATTAGTAATTGTGTCTGATTGTGTAGCACTAACTGTCTCCTGAGTTGAAGCTCTTGTATTAGTAGTAGCATTATTAGTACACGTAGGTGTTCCAACAATTATCGGAGCCTGGCCTGCAGGTCCAGTTGGAACTGTTTGATCTGTTGGAGGTATAGGACACAACTGCTGTATGGCAAATTGTGCAAATGCTACTTTTGATATTTCCAGTATGTCTTTCCTGTCCATGTGTGTAGCAGCTTCCTCAACAAGAAGTCTCTGACATTCTGAAGCTGCCAGCTTTTGTAGCAGCTTATATCGGGCGAGCTGAACTTCTTTCTCTTTTAGAGCAATCTCTCTAATGTCTAGACTGAGTCTCTCGATTTCACAGTTGACTCTTGAGTCATTTCGAGCCTCAAAGTTGTTTTTATCTCTTTTTAGTTTCTCTTTGTCTATCCTAATTCTTTCCTCTCTTAATCGTATTCGCTCTTTGTCTACTGCTACCCTTTCCTTGTACAATTGGATTTTTTTGGCTGTTGAATTTGCATTCTCTTCTTTCCCCTGAAGCAGTCTTTCTTTGTTCCTTAAAGCTTGCTCATCTAATTCATATCTCCTCTCATCAGGGTCTAAGTCAGGATGCTGAGGATGCACATAGTTGTCAATTTGGCTATGATTTCTCCTCCTTCTGGTGATGTTTAAACTGATTTCCTTGTCCTTGGAATCCCTCTCTTCAGCCATGGCTTCTATCAAATCACTGCAGGAGTCTTCAATACTTTTTGGCTCTTCCTCTGTATACCACCATAGGACACTGCTGGAGAAGATAAGGACCAAACTAAAGAAGAGAAGATCGAAAAAAGAGAGCAAGGAAATATCTCTGTTATTAAAAAAGTAGATACCAGTTCCAATAAGACCTAAAGGTGGTGCATATACTACTCCTTGAAGGAAACCCAGCGATATCCATCCTAGCATTTTCCAACAAAAACTTTTGTCTTTGATGAATTCATTCACCTTATGAGCTGCATTTAATATAATCCATGTGACAACTGATACCAACACCCAAGCAAATAATAAAGTACCAGTTGCTTGACCGACTGCTCCACCTATATTCAGAGTCCAAGCAAAGCATTCAACATCTTCGTCAAAAGTGAGTGCCTCTTCTAGAGTGACGTTCATTACTTCATTATGATTTGAGCTATAGAAGCACTTGTAGTCGCCAAACGGATTATATTTTCTCGACCGATCAATGACCAAGTGGATCCAGAACACTAGCGCTGTGAAGAAGACGTTCACTAGCATTATAGCAAAGAGGGAATTTGTGTATTCTTTTTTGAGTATGAAACCAAACATGACAGTGTTGTTACCATGCTTATTAATATGTGGGAACATTATCCTCACTGCTTTATCCGGTTTAAGGAAGTGTATTGTGAGTGCCATGCCACAAGCTACAACTAGAGATCCTATTAATGGTAGGACGAGCTGAACCCGAACAAAAGAGTTATATTCGTGGTCCATGGTGCCTCTAGAAAGATCCTTCCTTGTATATTGGTATATAAGGGATCCTGAGTCTCTTGCTGTAGGTTGTGATTGTTTGATTGCTGGTTGCGACTGAGTGATGGGGAGAGGACAAAGAAGTGCTTTATAGGCTGAGCTGACGGAATGAAGAGGTGGCACTAGCAACCGGAAGCCACTTTTGAGCGAATGTCATATCAGAACATGTACTTTATATATGTACATTATACATGTATGTACATGTACAGTGTATGCTGAAGTATGTAATTCCATTGTATTGTACCTTATAAGACATTCTGTACGTGTACCTTTTATAAAGAGTGCTATTTGTAATTAAGAGAAGATAATGTAATGTCTTAGTATTATATGTTACATATTATATGTGTACATGTACATGTGTTGTGTTTTTGTCTTTATTTTAATTGTCATTGAAAGTACGTGTACAATTGTACGTTCATTGCTATTATTGCTATGTGCATGTATTCCTGTGTGTATATTATGTGCACGTATCCCTGAATGTATTTTGGTTGTGGACCTGTTTATCTTTTGGTCAGAATATGCTGTATGTACTATAATGTACATGTACATGTGGGGAGGGTGTATCATACTGGTAGGAGGTGATTAGTAGTGGTGGCTATGTAAACTAGTATTTCTTATTCTGGCTGCATCAATTAGCCTTTATGATTTATTCATGTTCAAGATGTTTTTATAGTGTGTTTATTTTAGACTTTATCTTCATTTCCTTTCTCCTCCTCCTTCACTCCCCCCTCTCTCCCTCCACCCTCTCTCTCTCTCTCTCTGTATCTCCTTTCTTTCACTGCCATATTAGTAGGTTCTCTCATCATAATACTATTCCTCAATCCTGTTTTGTTGTCAAATTTTCTTTTGAAACTCATTCATCAACATTTTTAAACTGATAAGCTTCTTATGAAATATTTTCATATTTTAAAGTATTATTTTGTTCAAAAATTAATGTTATTAATGATGAAAATGAACCAAAAATTATGAAAGTAATTGTCTTTGTTACAATGTACATGTATGTATCAATGATTTTGTTCTAATCCTGCACTGAAAGAGTCCAATCACTTTTGTCTTTGTTATATTGTTCCTCTTGTTCCATGTATCTCTGATAATGATCATCAACTATCTGAACAATATTAACTTCATTCTCTCTCACACGATACTTGTAACGTTTAGCCAGTATCACAAACACTATCAGTATGATAAAAACTAGTACACTCTTTGCTATATAATAATAGAAACTAGTACATATGTATTGACTCTCACAATTAAATGGAAACATTAGTAATGTACTAATAAGATAACCGATTCCCCATGAAGCATACCACAATCCAACCATCACTCCTCTCATGTGTATTGGAGACTGAGCTACTGTAAACTCCAGTGATACTGGATACACAAGAATAAAAGCTAGACCGTTTAATGTTTGTGGAATGAATAACATCTTATTAACAAACTGATCTTTCATTATAATGTTAATGACAAGTTGAGATACCACAGTAGTTACACAGAAAAAGAGACCAACACTAATTCTAGTCAGCATACTAGGAATGTATTTGTAGAAACAAACACGAATGAAGTATAGATACACTAACAATAGGAAGAAGGAGCATATGTGGTACTCAATCTCAGTTACCAAATAACAAAATAGTGTACTATTTTACCAG